AATTTGGCAAAATGTTTCGATGGGTTTCGATTTCGATGCCTGTCGAAACCTCGGGGTTTTGCCCGGCAACCTTATTCCCACAGTAAAAATTGCGTCAGAGTATGTATCAAATTTAACAGGCCAATCAAAAGCTGACCAGAATTTATACCACGAGGAATCAGGAAGATTATATAAACAACTTCAAAAACTTTCACCTAAAACTTATATTTACAAACCAAAGCAATATTATCGAAATGGAAAAATCGTATAAAACTTCCGAAACTACCATGTTTTCGTTTCCAAATCTTGAAGACAAAGGTACCTTAGGTACTAAGAGTCAATATAACAAGACTGACGCGTATAATCAAAATGAAGAAAATTTTAATCGTTTAGACAAAACAGGTATAAAACATATCTTTACCTTATAATTTGAATATTTGCATACTAATTAAAGGAATAACTTACTTACCATGAATCTAGAAGGATCGTTTCAAGATACTTATAAAAGCGTATCTAGAGGTGATTATAGCGATACGGCTGATAATAATTCGATTGTCGTAGCTGAGAAATTTTCGCCTGATCTGGTACAACATATTCTTGGAAAACTTGGCTTCGATGAAAATGATGTAGCATCATGGAGTGAACCCATAGAAGTTCCTTTTGGGGTTTCTTCAACTCTCTATATAGCCCGCTTTGCCATTATCCACGGTTTACCGTTTCAGCATATTAATCTGTACCCAGAACTTCAAGATATTTACATATTCGGCGGAAACATTCCAAAATTTATACAAAATAAAATTCAATCAGTGAATCCCGAGAAAATCTTGGGTGGAAAAGTTCGAAACACCATCCCAGCAAATATATTTACATACAAATATAAGTTTAGATCTAATGAACAGAAACTCAACGTGATTAGTCAAATAAGAGACAAATTTGGTGATGGAAGAAGATTTCTCTACCGTGGAATTAATTCTCACAATATTAACGCAACTCTTACATACGGGTTTATGGATGTAATATTTCGGTCTTCCTTAAGAAAGGAATTTGGGCCAGGCCTATATACCACTCCAAATCTCGATTATGCCATTTCATATGCTGGAAGGAATGGTACGCTTTTAATCTTCGATTTGTCTAATTTCGATAGAAATCTTACGTCCAAGCATTTAAAAGATCTAGAGGAATGGAAAGCAACAGTCAAGGGCCACATTTGTTTAGGGGATGATGATAAGCCAAGACCACCGTTTCATGAAGAAGATATTCTTGAAGGTTTGATTTCCTCCAACCATGATATTATCAGAGAGTGTCATGATCCAATTCCTTCGGAAGTTGAACAAGTTGTCGGCAGAACAGAATTAGCCTTTAAGGCTTTTGAAAATCGTTTATTTGCCATCATATATTTGTTTTGAAAAATAATGAAGGTTAGAAGCACCACATAAATTTAATACATTGATTGGTGGAAACATTAAATATTCTGTTAAAACAAACTGATGGCACTAGCTGATTAGGATGGGTTTCTATTTTTTTTTATTTTAATTTCATCATGTTACAACGAAGTATTATTGCTTATCAAAATTTCAATAAATTTTATTAAATAAAGAGCTGGTATACTATTTGGGTCTTTATTTTCTACGTACCTGCACAAAATGTAGGGTGTGTTATATAATAGGTGACAAATAAAATTTTTCTATAAAAAAAATTTCTAAGTCCCCAGAATAAACCGTAAAAATGAAACACGTGGCGTTGTGATAAATATCCCCTAACCCTAACCCTAATCCTAATCCTAACTCTAACCTAACCCTAATTCCGCTTCAACATATATAAATATGGTGGGTGCATTTTGTGCGGGGTGCGCAAAATACAAATTCTCATACTATTTTACTGTATCTTTAACGGTTTTCATTAAATGGTTAAATATAAATTTGGAATTAATTTCAAAGTTGTTGTTCACTCTTTTTCGTAAAAAAAAATAAAATTGCAGGCGTGATGCAATACCTTTTAAACTAAATTAAAAATTCTTATTTCCGCTATTGGTGCAGGAGATGAGTATGTCACGCTGCACAATATGAATTGAACTTACACGAAATATAATTGAGTGTATATAATAAAATTATTCTTCACTACTCCATTAAATTACTCTGCTGCTACGCACATAACGTTCTTGAAGAATATCCAGATCATTCACAAGTTTTTCGTGAAATTTTCTGATTAGTCATAATCTCTTCTTTAAGACCTTTGAGAAGAGTACCGAGCAAATTTTCATCATATTTGCAAGAATTAATACAATTTTTTCTTTATTGTTCTGCCATTGATAGAGTATGCTCAAGGCGTTGCTTTTACTTTATTCATGTTCTTTTTCGTTACTCACACTCCATTTTTATTCTTTTCTATATAACAATTATGAATTCACAACAATTTTCTTTTTGAATATAATGAAATTATTGTTTTACTTTAATGCAAAAAGTTTTAAAAAGAATAATGGAGGCTTCAATACAAATACACATCATCTTTTAACTTTACTAAAGTTATAAGGCTTAGTGAAAATTATAAAAAAAATTTTCCATAAAAAATCCGTCATTTAAATAAGCATAAACTAACTCAAAAGAGCTATGCTCAAACTTTTACTCCTATTGATATGCATCATCGCATTACTATCAAAACATTGAAGGAGATGCTTTAGAACGCCCTTTGTCGAGAATAATTTGGCTGAAAATACCAACCGATATGCCTTATTGAAACCCATTTATAAACTATTTAATTGCACTCTACTCTATTTCAATATCCTTTCGTATTGATACCGATTCAGAAATCTTTATAAAATGTATGAACCTAACGAAATATCAGAAATGTTCCTTAGATTTACGAAAACAAGATAATTAAAAAAAGATGCTACGATTCATTTGGAAAAGCTATCCAAGTCAAGAACAACGTAATTTGATAACTATTAAACAAAAGATATAAAAACATTGACATTACACGCAACTGATGATACATTAGCATACCTAAAGGGTTCTCGAATCAAAATTACTTGAAAAGTTCACGCAAAGCCTTCGTGTACTCCTGGTTGAAGTTTTTAATAAATTGGAATAAATCTGAAGTACCAGCAAATTTATGCATAAATTTGTTTATTAGAAGAATCCGAATTTAATTTGTTATCAATTTCTAATGGATATGAGAAGAAGCATACCGATTTTACCTAGAATAATTGAATCTTTGACTACCAGTGTAATTAATTAAATATTTTGACAGATTCAATAAATTTAATAAGCTTTAACTATTAATTTAAATTTACTTTGCAATATTATCAAGAAAAAGTAAATCCTAAATATTTGATTTATACAATAATTCTCTAAATGTAGAACGCAGAGCAGATGGCAATCATTATCTGTCACACATTAGGTTGGGTTAATTTAAATTGAATGAGCGAATTTTTTCAAATGACCTTGGTTAGTTAGTTTATCAATTGTAATTTATAGCATTTATTTGGAAAAATTCGTAGTTCGATTTAACTTATCAAAGAAATATAAACTAGGAAACGAAATCTGTTGTAAAGAGTTTATAAAGTTTTAAACTAATTGCAGAAATGGAATGATGGTATTCTCTTTGTTTTGTGGACAAACAGCTTGAAAATATCGCTAAATTCATTTCAATATTACGACTTTAAGATATGACTTTGGTAATTATCGGTTTAGTAATATTCTTGGAAATATTTGATTCATATGGATCGCCTTACTCCAAAAATATTTTTGTAGGAATCTGAAACCATCTAAGGTGTGATATTAAATCATTAAATCTTTTTTGTCCAGTAAGATACTATATTAATCAAAACTCTATTTAATTAAAACTGCGCAATTACGAAAATTATGTAATAAAATAATAGAAAAAATCGGAAATTAAAAAAAATAAACGAAGTTACAAATAAAACTTAAAATGTTAAAATGGCGAAAAACGAAAATATCGCGAAGGGATTAATGGAAGGCTTTAAGCTGTATTTATGCAAATACAAGAAGGGCTAGAGTGGAATGTTAAGTTATTTAGAGATTTCCTGCTCGTATTTATAAAAAAAAAATAATTATTAGGAAAGCCTGGCATCGTAACAACCTGGCACCTTGAAAACCTGACAAAATGATCTTCAAAGGACAAACTGCAAATATCGAAAACAATTTACATACAAATTATGGAGTTTCCAAAATTACAGTATATTCAATGTGACAATACCAAATGTTAATAAAGACTCATATCACCTAAGATACTAAGCGTAAACATATAAATTCAATGACCAACCTTTCACATTTAGATGAGCTTTGAAGATGCTGTAAGTCTGGTTGGTTATAAAGAGAATTATAATTATAAGTTAATGTGCTTTGCAGCAAATTATTTATCAATAACGATAGTATCGTTTGATTTTATGATGTTGACTTTAAAATTATGAAGATAAGTTCATTTTCATTCTCTTTCTGTCATTTATACTAAATTTTTTAAATAAATGAAAGAAACATTTTTAAGAACCACAAAAAAAAAGGTAAATTTTGTTTACTTTTTTGTGATAACGTTTAATAACGTAATTTTACAAATTTTTATTTTTAGGCGAATTATACTTCTAAAAAATCTACTGGAAAGAAAAATATAAACAAACTTATTAATATATAATAAAGACGAATTGCAACATTCATATGCTAATCAATCATATAGATATGACAATTTTTTAATAATAATGTATCTTTGATTATTTGATTATTTTGATTTTTTAATTATCCTTAATTATGAAAAATATAAATGAAAGTTCAACCATTAATACTGCAACACAATAAATAGATCCCTTTTGTCAACCACTACAAATACAAACGATATTCAAAAATTACAGCTGATAAAATTTAATTATTCTGTAGGTGTCCTATTCCGCATAATTGAATTGATTCACAAAAGAATAAATGGGGGCTAAGCTATTAAAATCACCTTACGTGACCCACCAACCAAAATTGAGATTTTTGATTAATATTATTATATGACATATGAACTTTATTTGGTTAAATTTTTATAGTCGATTATCTTATTAACAAAGCAAGCAATTAGGCTGTTAAAATCTCTCATTTTTTGTGTAACATCAGTCAAAAAATCTAGAATTAGAATTAGGAAATGATCGACATTATTTAAAAAAGATAAGCAAATATTTTTTTTAAAAATAATAAATATAAAAATTAATTTTTTTAAAAATTTAATTTTCTAATAAATTAGTATAACAATGTCCCATAGGGTGATTTTAATAGCAAAATCTATGTTACGAAATTGAATTCAAGTATTACAAAAATTAATTTTTAATAATAAAATTTATATATTTATTCATAATAGCAAAAAATTTTAAAAATTATAAAATAAATAATAAATTTTAGTATTTTTTTTTTTAAGTGCGATAGTTTCACAAAATCTTTATTGAAATATAAAATTCTATATAAATAAAATACATATTCAAAAAAGTTATGAAAATTTCATACAAACTAATCTATTCTATAGAAGACTGATCCTGCACACTTCTGAAATCAAAACTAACTTAAACTTAAATTAAGTCTATCACTTTTGGAAAATAACAAAAAGATACAAAAGAGGGCTTAGTCACTACAGCACTAAAAATTTGACTAATGAGATCCAAGGTAGACTATTATATCTAGAGAAGCAGGTTGAGGATAATAAATAACTTTAGTGGAGAAAATACATAACTGGTGAAATATGTAGATTCTATTTTTGTCAAATAGTAATATTGTCAGTTTTTCTTTATCAGCCTAGATGATATAGTGTTCAATCCAGATATTCTGAGTAAGTTCAAACATAAAATGCATGAATGATGATTTGCCGCAAGAGCTAAAAGGTAGTTATTTAACTTTTTATAGATAAAATTAAAAAGAAAATGTGAGATAATACCTTTTATTATAGCTAAAAATGATTAGTAATTGTAATATAAAAGATCCTAACAAGCTAATTGATCAACTTCAAAAAGAGTTAGAGTTAGTAATAGATTTTAAGTAATCTTTTAATTGTTAAATGATATCTTTTATTTTCAAGTGAATCATAGGACAGAGCCAATATGATAAAAATCTTTATCATCAGTGTCATAATACGAGTAAAGTATAAAGGTAGGATAAATAGTAGAATGTCGTAGTTTGAGTATTTTAAGTATAGATAGCATTTTCAGTAACTGAAGAAACTTTTTTTCTTTACTGAAAATGCAATATATGATATGCAATCAGATACTATGTTATTATTAATAGAAAATGAGATTGCATCCTACTAAGGATGAAAGACTTAGTTGTACTTAGAGAGAACATTTATATTAATTAAATTAAGGGTAGAATAAGACCTAAACTGGTCTTTGATGAATTGTTTGATAGGTGGTAAAATAGGATGGTTATCATAT